CAGGCTGATACCTGCAGTCTGAGCAGTTGGGAGGCTAAGCCTGGATACTTTTTTATTTGAAGCCAGCCTGGGTTACACAGCAAATTCCAAGATAGCCCTGGCTATATAGCTTGACCCTGTCTCAAAACAAACTAAACAAAACCCCAGAAAGACAAAGGAACAGTAGCTAAAGACAGAACATGCTACCATCATTAACTTAGTGGGCACCCACTCGGGTGGGTGGTGCTGGTCCATCTATCACTCTTGAGAAAGTTCCTAACAGGAGAATCTATTACCAATCTTAAATGTTGATCAAACATGCTAAAAGAGAACACATTAAAACCATGACCTTTCTAAACCACATCTGCCCCATCTCCACAGACAGAGCTTATGACACCCTGGGGATATGTTAGTGATGACACAGAAGGCAGACCTAGATGTCTTGTGTCGTTATATTGTGGTTGTGACACTTGAAAGGGGCAGTCTGAATTCATCCTTACAAATGCCCAGAGTAGGAGGTGTACACCCAATGCGACTACAGCCTCCCTTATTTATAACCCTCCAAATATTCTCCCTATAGACCATAGGAAGGAGAACACAGGCATTTAATAATAAGCACAGCTCTCTAGCTCCTGTAAGGGCAAGGTTGCTCTGCCTCTTCAAGTGGGAAGGGTATGTCCCCATTCAGACCTGAGAAAGACTGGGACTTAATACAGCTGGAGGGGGGGGGAGCTCAGTTCACCCTCCCTCTCTGATTTCCTCCCTCTCAGCATCCCACTGGTAAAGGAATCACATGCTCAAGGCCTCTACCTCGGCTTCCCCAACCTCTTTCCGAAATCAAGCTTCACATGACACAATTTACATTCTTTTCCTGCCGTGAAGCACAGAGAAGCCTCGAAGTCCCTTGTCTTTGGTTTCTACCCTCCCCGTCCTCATTACTCAAGTGTTGACTGATTGGCCTTCAGGAGCCAAGCATGGTGACAGGCACCCTTCATGGTCACGGGTGGGTGGGAGGTCATCACCACAGGAAAACAGATAAAGGCCAAAGCCAGGGACATCCTCCAATCAGAAGAAAAGGTTGCATGCCATTTAACAGTGTATCGCCACCCACATAGGCCCATAAAAACACACACAAACCTCAAATATTTAACGACTGTAACTTTTGTTTTACTTTAACTGCGTATGTGTCCAAGCCACCAAAAGCTCTGCGTGGCTTATTTTGATGCATCCATGCCCTTCAGAGACTTGCTAAAGGCAAAAGCTCATCCGCAATCTCCCTATGCTAGAGCAAACACACTGCATGTACTTTGTCCCTTTGGGGTCAGAATGACCACAGCCTAGGGGCGGACAGCAGCCTCATTCTCCACTAAGAACTCAAGTCTTTCTTGAAGACTACAGGAAAAGTATTGTTCATGAGTAACTCCTTTTCCTACCGTTATCTACAAGGTACTCACTTTATGTGTTTGGTGTTTGGACTTTTTTTTCAGTTCCCTACTCTTCCTAAAGACACAAATGGCAATTCAGTATTTGCAGATAACAACTTTCCAAAGCCCTTTACTTACTACATTCCTCACTTACTACGTCACTACGTCACGGGGGGAGGCAACCTTATGAAATGCAGACAGTAAAGTTACATCCTCCACCTTGTAACTGAGCAAAGCTGGTGCTGTTGGGGTTCTGTTTGCTCCCTAGAGATTCACCTAATGTGAAGGGAACTTGGTCCCCAGTGTGGAAATCTGGAAACTAATGGAATCTTTAAAAGGTGAGGATTTGGGGAAGTCTGAAGCCCCAACCCTGGGAAGGAAAGGTAATTCTCTAGGACTCCATTGTAGGTTGATATCAAAGCCCCAAACTGGCCCCATCCAGCTCTCTCCTTGCTCACACTTCTGCCATTGTCATCCACCAGGCCCTTGAACCTCCCAACCTGTGAATAAACAAACATGTTTTCTTCACAGCCTTGTTCTGTCCTGGTATTTCATTATACCAACAAATCACCAGCTGCGGCACAAAGATTTACTTTACTAGTGAAGGCCATAACACTGAACAAGGACAGAACCAGAAGCAGAATCTTGACCTTTGATCTCCACGGCCACCGTCTATTCACCCCTCGCCACCTTCCACTACAGATAACCAACGGTTGCCACACTGTTCAAAGCATAACCTCAAAGGTCAGGAAGACCTCCAAGTAGGAGAACAATCTGGAAAAAGGCTTGAGGGAGGTTCTTACTGATGTAAACTTTGCAATGTCCTGGTCTCAGAGACACTGAAATATAATAGCATAAGGAACCTGCCTCTTGGGGAGGGCGTACAGCAAGGACCTTAGTCCTAGGTGGTCATGAAATATTTGACATACACCAAAGACTTCAAAATTATGTGTCACTTGCTTATGTGACTTCGCATTGACGATCACTCCTATCTTCCCACTTTGCTTTCACGTGCGCCTTTTCTTGTATTCCAGTTCGTTGTCTTCCTCTTGTCACCTGGCCTGGTAGATTTCTTTAGCTTTAGCTCACTGACATACCTTAACATTCCAATCAACAATACACTGGAGGTTTTACTTACTTGGGCAAAATGTGATCATAATTATAAATATACAAATAAATTAGCTCGGCATTGTGGTATGTACGTATAATCCCAGTTGAGGCAGGCAGATCCCAAATTTAAAGCTAACCTGGGCTATGTAGTGAGCTTAGGGCCAGTCTGAGAAATTTAATAAGGCTCTTCATCAAAAAAAAATTAGCTCGAGTAAAAAAAGACTGAAGATTTAAGTCAGTCGTTGAACATTTGCTAGCTTGCACAAGGCTTTAAATTAAATCTCAAAGTCATGTACCCAAACACCCCACCACCACCACCACCATTGGATATCTTAATGATACCAGCTTCAAGGCTTTGGGGTTTTGTCAGCTCTTAGAAAAGGCCTTGCTAAGCAAGACTGTTGTAAAGTAGTACTGATACTTAACCCTAGACACTTCAATGCTAGGTCTCTATAGTAACCGGAAACACTGGCACCTTGTGTATTCCTACCAGGATCAAGGGTCCTCCTGTAGTCTCTTGGCCTCTCAGCACAGAAGCCCTAAGCACACCTGACAAAAGCTCAGAGGCCCAGGAGAGGAACTCTGTGTGGTATTCTGATTGTAATCACCTGATCATGACCCTAGCTCTGAGGCTTAGCCCATGTCTCCAAGGGCTCTGACTCAACCGACTGCAGGAAAAGAAGTTCTCTCCTCTCCTGCACTCCATCAGCTTTGTGCCTCTTGAAAGCTTGAGACCTGAGACACAGGAGTGCAAAGTAACAAAATACAGGCAGAACTTCAGAGTATAGATAAAAATCTGCCAGATGCTTTGGGTAGAAGGCTGTATTTTCACAGCAAATGTACTTGGAGCTCCTTCGTCCTAAGATGTAAGACCCAAGAATTGCAAAAGAGAAGCATATTCTATGTAATTTCAAATATAGAAGACAGTGTAAAATAATCAAATTATCAATGAAGTCTGTAATCGCCATAATATAAATGGCTAAAATTAAGGAAAATAAGGCCTGGTATCTCTTAAGCACATCTCATGTCTTATGTTATGCCAGGTCCCTTCTGTGCGTTATCCTGTTCTTCATAATAGTCCTTAGGTAATGACCAATGACAGGCAGGAAGACTGAGGATGTTCAAACAAAAGTTGGAAACCTGCCACGCTCACTCATACAGTTAAGTCATAGCCTATATCAGTGGTTCTCAACCTCCCTAATGCTGCAACCCCTTTACATGGTTCCTCATGTTGTAGTGACCCCCAATCATAAAATTAGTTTTGTTCTTACTTCATAACTGTAATTTTGCCTCTGTTATGGATTGTAATATAAATACCTAATATGCAGATGGGTCTTAGGCGACCCCTGTGAAAGGGTCATTCAACTCCCAAAGGGGGGTGCAAACCACAGGTTGAAGACTACTTGCCTAGATCCAAAGTGAGATGTGGCAATTCACTTCCCAACGTGTGTTTCCTTGTGTCATTTTGTCTCTGTGAACCTGTGTACCAGTGAATTTTAAAGGTCTACTTGGCATAATCTAGAATCACCTGGGAAGACAGTCTCATGGAGGACTTGCCTAAATCAGGTTAGCCTGTAGGCACGTCTGCAGGGGATTGTCTTATGTGTTAACTGGCCCAGCCCAATGTGGGTGGCACCATTCCCTAGGCTGTGGGTTCTGAACTGTGTACTAATGAGAGAAGCTAGCTGAGCAAAAGCAAGCATCAAGATGCATTTATTTTCTCTTGACTGTGGGTGTTATGGGATTATCTGCCTGAGCCCTTGCCTTCATTTTCCTTCACTGATGGACTATAACCTACAAATACAAACCAAACTTCCTCTCCTGTGTACCTTTCATTCAGGGCATTTCATCACAGTCACAGAAATGGCACAGCCTCAACTCTCAGTTTCCTCATTTTCAAAAGACTAGATGAAACCAATTTTTCTTGAGCTTCCCCAGAACTGGCCACAGAGTCCTTTAAACATCCAGTAACAGAGAACCTTTTTTTCTTTTTCTTTTTTTCAAAATGCACTTTTGCCTCCGCAATCAAGCCTGAGATTCAACTTCTCAGGCGCTAGTACCCATGCACTCACAGCTGGCTCCTCTGTGATATAGGCTCCTCTGCATTGATACTCTGTGGTCTCACTGTCTGCAGGAAGCAGTGGAGCTTGGAGGTCACACAAGGTCTATCATCTTGCCAGCACTATACGGAATTCCATCCAGGCTATGCTGCTTTGCCTATAACTTCAGTTATCAACTAATATTTGTGGTCCTTCATCCCTTCTCTGTAAAACTGGAGTAATGGCCAGGCAGTGGTAGTGCACGCCTTTAATCCCAGCACTCAGGAAGCAGAGACAGGTGGATCTCTGTGAGTTAGAGGCCAGCCTGGTCTACAAGAGCTACAAAGCTGCAGGGAAATGTTGAAATAGGAGCGACAGGGCTGCGTCCCCGGCACCCGGCCGCCCGCATGGCTAGCTTATACCCAGAAATAATTACACGGAAACTGTATTCTTTCAAACACTGCCTGGCCCGGATAGTTCCAGTTCCTTATGGCTAGCTCTTACATATTGTTCTAACCCATTTCTAATATTCTGTGTAGCCCACGAGCTGGCTTACCAGGGAGGATCTTAACCTGCGTCTGTCTGGAGCGGGAGAACCATGGCGACTCCTCACACAGCTTCTTTTTCCCAGCATTCTCCTCTGTCTACTCCGCCTACCTAATTTTCTATCCAATAAAATGGGCCAAGGCAGTTTCTTTATTAATAAGAAATCACTCCCACATCATTTCCCCTTTTTCTGTTTAAACAAAAAAGAAAGGCTTTAACTTTAACATAGTAAAATTACATATAACAAAACAGTTATCAAGTAAGAATTACAGTTACAATATTTATATCTATTTTATCTCTTATCATAACTAAGGAAAACTATAACTAACCATTCTTCAACTCCATCAAAGACTCCAGAAGGATATAATATTACCTATCAAACAAGAAATAAGAAAACTCTAGAAATGACAGAGACATCTCGCTGCCTGGACAGTCACCCAAAGTTCCTCTGTACCGTTGGGGCATCCATCTTCGGCCTACAGGCCCATAGTATCCAGCAGACATTCTCATCAAGCAAGAAATTCCAAAGACAGTTCAGTCACTTTTTGCTGTGTCCTGCAGAATGTCTCACAGACTCTTTCATGAAGCAGGAACCCCAAAAGGTCATCTCACCTTTAGGCAAGTTCAGCAGTCCTCTCTCTGCGGGTTCTCTGTGTCCAGTTTATGCAACAGTCCAGGCAAGAGCAGTTTCTTGCCCAAATGGCTATCAAACTCCATAAGGATTCTCTTCGATGCCCATCTTCCTCTTGAAATAGATTGGTGCTGCCAGGAGCAAATGTGTCTCATTGTCATGAAAAACCCTAAGTTATTAAAATATCTTAAATGCCATATTCTGCAGCCTTTGAAAGATATGAAGAATGCCTATCTAACTAAAATATCTCTCTATATATCTAGAAAATCTAACTAACATGACTACAAGCTTAAGTATTAGCGATGATTATCCATTAACAACCTATATTTCCTAATTATACATTACATTTTTAAATGAACTACACAATCACAATACCTTAATCAAGATCAAAAATACATATACATATAACAAAATTGACCATAAAATCCATACCAATGCAAATTATTCATATCTATATCATATCCCCCTTTAAATGTAAAAGAACATTTATAAACAATATTTGGGAACATGGGCGTAGTTTTTTCTCTACAAACTGCTTCCTGCTGAATAGGGGCGTCGTTAATTAGGTTGTTCATGATATAACCTGTATGCTAGTTTCATCTCAGTTGGCAATTGAGCGAAGCAATTTTTTGAGGGTATTCACAGCAACCTTTCAGGAGGGCGTGGTCTATCATACCAAATCGGAATAGATGCAATCCACAGGGTCTCATCCTCTGCAAAAACAAAAGAAGACCCTCTCCAAAGCATCATATCCTTAGACCCAAATTCTGAAATCATAATACCCTTATATCCATTTTGGTTTAGATTGGCAGCCCATGTAATGAAATGTCTCTCTGTACTTAGCTCCTTCACAGTCAAAAATTTTAAAGAAAACACAATGTACATAATCCAGACTCTCTGTGAATTTTCCATTTTTACGTGGCTTATATTTCTTTATTTCTTTTAATCTATAACTCTCTGTACTTCTGTACTCTGTCTCTTTAAAGACTTTACCCTTTTTCTTTTTAAGACATTAACTTTATTCTTTATATTCTTTTTCTTCTCTTTCCCAAGCCTACGTACATTTATCCAACAGTGTCTGAATCTGTTTTATTGTGAATCTGTAATTTCTTTACTATACAGGAGCATTTCTTAAAATGTTAAGCATTTCTTAAAAACTTAAGTTGCACCATTTACAGGTAATACGGTACTGCCTGTGTCCTGCCCAGTCTAAACCTTAACTGCACGGTTTTAAGGTAATTACGGTAGTTCCTGCTGAGATCAGCACAGTTCAGCATGGAGCAGCTGCTCCTGCCTCAGAGTCATTTGGTGCCCCTGAACCATTCACAGTTTCAGGCACACAGCAAGTCCACATTGGAGCCGCACTCAGCAGTTTAACTCTGAGACTGAGTGTGCAGCACAGAAACTCTTTTCATCCAAGTTACAGCCAAATCTGACATGCAGAGCACTGCGCAGTCTGAAAATGCGTCTCTGTACAGCGGCAGGAATCCGCCATGCTCTTCCGCCTGCCTAAGCCTGATTCTGCCGTCTGCCCAGGTGCAGGCGGGAAGCGCTGAGCCATCGGCACAGTCTCAGAGCACTCTCCTCCGATCCCAAGCGGGAACACAAACATCCAGTCCCATAAAAGCCTTGAAATGCTTTAAAGCCAGAGTTCACGCTGGCAGCATAGCTCCAGGAAGCAGCGCTTTAAAATGACGCGGCTTTTTTTTTTTTGCTGTTGCTGAATCAGGAATCTCTCTACAGAACGCCACCAACAAAACAGCAAAAATCTGTGTTAAACTCTCTCTCCCTTATTTTTAAGCCTTCTCAGGTTTTTAAGTGGATTTAGCCATCACGTCTGGGCGCCATCTGTTGAAATAGGAGCGGCGGCAGGGCTGCGTCCCCGGCACCCGGCCGCCCGCATGGCTAGCTTATGCCCAGAAATAATTACACGGAAACTGTATTCTTTCAAACACTGCCTGGCCCGGATAGTTCCAGTTCCTTATGGCTAGCTCTTACATATTGTTCTAACCCATTTCTAATATTCTGTGTAGCCCACGAGCTGGCTTACCAGAGAGGATCTTAACCTGTGTCTGTCTGGAGCGGGAGAACCATGGCGACTCTCACACAGCTTCTTTTTCCCAGCATTCTCCTCTGTCTACTCCGCCTACCTAATTTTCTATCCAATAAAATGGGCCAAGGCAGTTTCTTTATTAATAAGAAATCACTCCCACATCAGTTTCTTTATTAATAAGAAATCACTCCCACATCAGGGAAACCCTGTCTCGGGAAAAACAAACAAACAAATAAAACCTGGAGTAGTGATACTGCATCCTCATTATATACTATGAAGACTGCATTGTTAACACCACTTCAAATGGTACTAGGAGTACACACCATGGGCTTTGAATATCAGTTGGTGCTTTTGCTGAGCTCTGCAGTTTACAGTCTCTTTTCCCCTTCTTGGTATACTCAAGAGAGCGCTAGGGGCCGTTGAGTTTCTGCTATCCCCACAGGAAGATTCTTATATTGGAAGGAAGGGTATAAGAGGCCACCCAGGACTAGACTTGACAAACAAGATTGCAAGGGGGAAAAAAAAGCCCCTCTAGCATTGTTCACTTGAGAGAAATTCATCCTGGGCATCTCCTTGCTTTGTATATCCCTTCCTCCAAGGACTCTATTCCAATCATCAGGGAGAGAGGATGAGAGAGAGAGAAAGAGAGGGAGAGAGAGACCATTAGTTGAATTCTCAGCGTTTCTCTCAAGACATGTTAGTGGGGGCATAGGGAATGGAAAATGATTTTTCATTTTGGAAACATATAGAAGAAACAACATGCATCGGCCTTGGTGAAAGTGAAGGAATTTGGAATCAGGTAACAACTTGGTACCGAAGGGACCCCAAACATTCCCAATGCCTCAGTTTCTTTGCCAAGGTAAAATGGCCCTGAAGAACTTCTACCTCAGAACTTTTTTATTTAGCACAATGAAGAGACCAGAGTCCCAGGTCTGAGCTCTGTGTCTTCCTTTTAGTCTTATGCTAGTTTTTGCCTTCAAGTTGAGCCTCAAATTTAACTAACTTACAGCTATAAGCAAATAAATTAGTAAATAATGAATGACTGAATGATAAAGCTAAGTATTTTTCTAAATGACCTTTAAATCATTCACCAGAATTTTCCAATCCCACTCAAATTGCTGACTTGTAAAACTGAGTTTTGCGAATTTGTTAGTATAGTTGTTTACTAGGTGTGGATTGCCATGAGCCAGCTTCCGAATTATGATTCTGCTGTAAGATGCTGCCCTCGCTCCTTCCAGTACTTCCTCCCTCAGACTGGCAATTGTTACAGTTGGGATCCTTGTGCACAGCCGGAACTGAACGGTTGCTAGCACACCCTGCCCATCCTGCAGGGCAGGAACATACTACATCTCAGTATTTCTCACGGAGACTTCCACAGCCCCACCCTGCAGCCCCTCTGGCCGCTTTGAACACTGCCATCTCTGGAAACGTCAGTGGCATCGCTCAGCTTGCCAAGTCCTTTGCCAAAGCTCGACTGCTTTAGAGCCCAGTGCCTTAGATAGTGGGTCACAATCTCAGATTGGAGGAGGAGGTGTAACTGAACATGGGAATTGTCAAAGTATTGGCAGCAATAAAGGAGTTTTGAAAGTGCAGTGACAAAGATCAATTATTGCAAAATCAAATGCATAGCACCTGTGTGTTTCTGGCAGGGCTCACACATGCTACTCCATGCATCATCTCTGGAACCTTGCTCCTTAGCCCACAACACATGCACTTAGCACTAAGCACAATGTCAGGACCCCAGTGCCCACAAACTCTGCCTAAATCACAGAGCTCAGATTCCAGACTATCGTATATTATGGGCTTCAGTGTCTTTACCGCACTGCAAACATTTCTGCCCTTATAGAAACATAATGATTTAATTATGGAGGGAGCCTTACCGTTTTCCCATCAGTCCTCTGTGTATACTTATCAAATTAGTGTATCTTTGGCTAGTATTATGTTAGAATGTTTAACTTTTTAAATTGTTATTTGAGTTGCTGAGTTCAGGTTCATTTTTTTAGCAATCATTAAATGAATTTTTGGCTTGTGACTGACCGGATAGGATTTCAGACACCTTCTAACATGGCCTTAAACCTAGTTCTGTTAATAGTTGGCCATATAGCATTTACCACTGAGGAGAAATGGAAATTTCTTGTCCGCTTTCACATCTCTGCTTCCAGTTTAACTTGGTGAAATAGAAGTGGAGGCAGAGAGAAGGGCTGTTCCTTTGGTACGTACCACGCTCCTAGGAAAACCTTTTGAAATTGAGATACCTGTTTTTTGTGCTGGTGGAAAGGGCCAACAGAAATATCTAACAAGAGAGCAGGGAGTTAGATTGCCTCCGCGCAGCCTGCCTCCTGTTCAAGGACTACAGCTCGTGTTCTAACACTGGAAGCCGGTTTTCCTGGTTCGATTGCTTAAGTGCCCCTCCAGGATACCAGCCTCCACGATGACACCCAGCACCTCAGCCTCGTGTGCACTCTTCGTCCTCTCCCTTGGAGCTCAGAGCAGAAAAACCACTGTGGGAGACGACCTAACTTTACAGGGTAGGAGGGATACAAGGCATAAAAATTAAAAAGGTGTCCACGTTGAGATCTGAGGGGTCCCCACAATAATGGGGGAAAAAAAACATTGAATTCTCTCAACCAACAATTCTTAGATTTTTTTAAAGGAGTTTTGACCATGTTTCCTATTAAGGGAATAAAGAATAGTCTGTTAACAGGGCATTGGTGGGGGAGGTACTCTCTCAAGTGTGCCATTATACTGGTAAAAAGACAAAATGAATGCACCCTTGAGAGTGTAATTATAGCTAGCTGAAAAATGGAGCTCTGCATACTATTGTGGGAGGCTAAGTGGGTAAAAATCCCTTTGGAAGACTCTATGGCATTATGAAGAACATTAAATAACATGTTACAAGTGGCCCAGGAATTCCACTTCTGAACATAAACTCAAGAAAATTGAGTATATATCCTTACCACAAACTCTATGCAAGAATATGCAAGATTTTTTTCACAACAAGCTCACACTTTAAACTATCCAAGTCCCCATCGATAGTAGGCCGTGTAAATGAAGAGCACAAATGAAGTCACAATATACAACAGCAAGGACGGGTCATCAACCACTGCATATGGCCATGGAACAAACGCAATAAAGAAAGTGTCCGTTTAAAGAAGCTGGGTGTAGTATCCATGTATCGTATGTCTCCGATTACACAAAGTACAAACAGGCAACGAGTCTTTCTTGCTAGAAAGCAACATAATGGATGTCACCGGGGTGGGGTAGAAGAAAGAACTCCATGATGCCTCTCTTTCTTATATATTAAAGTGTAGCTCACTGCCAACCTCTTGATATTGCCATACAATGTCATCATCTACAAAGTTCACATTCCAGAGTGGCACAATCAAAAAGATCACATAAAAAAATCTCATGTTTTATGTGTGTACACTTTTGTGTTAGTCCACATTCAAATTACCCTCTGCTTCAGGTTAGACGTGTCTGAATGAATATGTTGGATTTGTAAAAAAAAAAAAAAAAAAAAAAAAAAAAAAAAAAAAAAAACTATCAAATTGAACACAGAAGGTATATGTACTTTTATTTGTTTATATTTGCCAAAGAATGAAAATATGGGCTTAAAATCTTTACCTTTCTCTTTACCGTGTACATTTTTTGTTCTTACAGACTCTGGGCATAGCTATGTGGCTTGTTTTGACCAATGAGGTTCACCCCCAAAGTACTGAGAGTTGAAACAGGGGCTTAGCGGACAAGCGCCACCAAGCTACAGCCCTCATCCCGCCAATATGTTCTTAACAAACAACCTGAACAGAGGGCTGAAAGATTATTTGCACATGCCTTCTTCCACTCATGTTCGTGTGCAACTTCCATGAAAACATAACCAGGCTAGAGGAATCTACAGAGCCACAGCCAAACTGCTCTTCCTCAGGGCCAAGGCATTCCTAGATGAGTCAATAGCCAACTGCCTCCCAGATAGGTAAACGCACTAAGACAGCTCAAAGTACAGTCTGACCAAGCACAGCAGAAACCATCCAGCTATAAGCTTGTGAGCAAAATAAACACTCATTTTAAGTCACTGAGCTATTGAAGATTGTTCAACAATATTATTGTGCAACAGACAAATGATACAATTATATGCTTTAGGTTAAAGCTAAAAGATAAATCAACTAGAACACCACACACACACACACACACACACACACACACACACACACACACAAACTGACTTAAAAGATTCATCCTGTGAGAAAGAGAGAAAACCTGGGATCCTGGGAACCTGGTATCCCACAGACTTAGTGTTCCAAAAGTATAGCAGGATGGTCAAGTAAACCCCATGCCTTGTGTCTGATGGATAAGCCCACCCAAAGAAGCTCCCTGCGCATCTAAAAGTTCTCTCCCATTTCTCCCAAAAGGCACAGCAGAAAATAGCCATTTCTTCTCCCATTTAAACAAAAAGGCATTAAAAACTTCTCTGATCTACATAACACCTCTTGTAGAATACCCAGCATGTTCTATATGGAGAGGGAACAGATACGACTTTCTGTTTCCGACTTGGCCGCGTTTCACCACGCAGGTGAAAATTGACACTGTGGGTTCCCTAGGCAGATCTCTTTCTGAGATGACCACAGGCATGGGCAGGTGCCTGGTATTCAGCTTCCAACTGAGTAGTGGCTGTGTTACCTGGATTAACCTGAGCTTTTGCAGAACCCAGGATGGGCAAGAGCAGGAGCAGCACCAGGGGCATTCTGGGAATCGGGATCATTTCGGAAGATGGAGTTGGATCTGGAGTCTGCAGCCCACCAATAATGCAAGGAAACAGAAAGAGAAGGAAAAGAAATGAGTAATGCAGATTTCACCAACACACATGAACACAATCTTCCTAGATAATTCGGAATTCTTGCAATGTTTATTTCTATATTTAATACTTCAATAGACCCAGGGATTAGCTAATGCAAGAATTTTCCAATTCTATTAGACTATGCACTCACTCCTGGAATTAAAATCAATAAAACTATACACAGGTAGCAATATATTACTGAGGCTAATACCAAAAAGTAACAACAAAATAAAATTTATATTTATGATGTCATCTAATATTTTCATATTATCAACATTAGTTCCAACATTAAAACAAAAAGGTCAATAACTTTAACCTGTTTTTAAAGCTGTATAAGTTCAACATTTATCTTGTTCCACTAGATTTGAAGTGATCTGCAGAACTTTGTAATTTACTTTTTTTTTAAGTTCCCTCGAAGAGATCTATGTGACAATGCTTGAGACATGAACATATCAGTACATACCCAGATTTAATTCATTAGAGGCATACATGTGGGAACTTTTATATGTATGTATACAAGTGAACATAATACACATCCATTGACCCCCTCACTCTGACAGCTAAGAGGGCCCAAGGGCAGAGCATCCTGGCAGTGACCATCCATTGGCAATGCAAACCAAGTGTTCAGATCTTGGTTTCTAATCCCACCTCCAATACAAGGAATCAGAGTTCCTTAGAGAAAATGGTTGATTCTGACACCGGATCAGAAAATCCGTAAGATAAGCCTGGGATTTATGTTGTACACACACACACACACACACACACACACACACACACACACACACAATGAAGTATTTCAAAAGTATATAGGCATCAGTAACCAACGCTGGAACAATTTGAACAATAAAATAAATAAAGAAGTATTAGATTATAACTCAGTGTATAAAGTAAATATCCACAAGTCCATGCTGATGTAAACAGAGGACTGAATAAACAAGCAGGGGAGAGCAGCCCATTTTCCATGAAAAAGAATTCCAAATAATTATGTAGCTAATCTGGTCCTTACACATAAGTCGCACATAGCAACTTGCTTCCAAAGGATGCAGCAGGAGCCGGGAGAGGGGCCGGAGAGCATCTTTTTGTGTGTGTGGGGGGGTGATTTGCCAAACTACCTAGTGTCAGGTAACTATGGTTACATAACATCAGCACTGAAGAGTCATTGAGATGATGTGTGTCCTTGGTGGGATGTCAAGGCAAGGCACTCGAGGTCAGTGGTCCCGACCCACAAACCATGGCCTTTGTCTGTTCCAAAGGGGAAAAAAGGCAAATACTAAGAGGAGGACTTTATCCAAGATTCCCAACTTATCCTCTGTGCTGTCAGTCATTCCAAACAAGAACGCCCGAGAAGCAGGCGCAGCTAAAGGGAGGGAAGGCGGTATGGATATTAATGACAATGTAGGGAGTGGCACCCTGTACACATCCTGGATTTGAAAAAGGACACTGGGGGGGGGGAACATAGGAAGTCAGAGGAAGCTGTGGACTTTAGCAATGCATCAACGTTGTTTCGCTCATTTGACAAACAGACAGTACTAACGTAAAATACTAATTCATGTCAGGCACACAGAGATCTTATGTAAAGTCTTCACAATGATCCCATAAATACACAGCTGCTCTATCACCTAGATAACACTGATAAATGACAAGCAGAAGAATCCCTGTAAGTTGGACTGAGGGGGGAAGAATTCCAGAAGACATCAGTAGGTTCCTGAAAGACAGGCAAGGTTTGAATGAGCAGTCAGGGAGGGGCTGACACAGCTGAGCAGGTGGCGCTTTCTAAGTATAAGAAACTCCCCGTGATGATTTCTACACAGTAATATGTTGAGCCACTTGAAAAACTTTTTATTTACTTTTTTGCTGTGTGTGTGCGTGTGTGCTTGTGTGTGTACATGGACACGTGCATGCACCATGAGAGGAGAGCCTGTAGGAGTCAGTTCCCGTCTTCTATCCCACGTGTTCTGGGATTCGAACTCATGTCATCAGGCTTGGCAGCAAGTGCTTCTACTCCCTGAGCCATCACATCAGCCCCTTAAAACATCTTTTTAAAATGCCTACATTTACCTACTAATTATTAGTTAAATATATGTGTGTAGGGATAAGCCCTCCCCTTGGGGGCGGGCTGCCCTCAGGCGTTTGTTTACGGATATATTGGGCGGGCAAAAGCGCGCGCCCCCTTCTCCCCCTTGCTCTCCTGTTTCCGCTGGCTACTCCGCTGGAACCTTGGTTTCGTGAGTCTGGTTTTGTTATTAAACTTGTTTAAATATCAATTACTGGTGATTTATTAATCCGACCGCTGCAGTTGGCCGCCCGTCGTGGGGCACAGCACCCGCTCCTTAGATCCGCTGTGTCCGCAGCAGGTCAGGCACACAGGCTGCCGACTTCCCAGCCCGCAGCTGCGCGGCTCGGGACACGAACGCGGCCCCGAACGCGATCCGCGATCGCCTTAGCCACTCCGCCCCCTCCGCCTCGGGTGACGCCGCCCGCCGGGCTCCCGCCGCAACCCCGCAGTCCTCGGCACTCCAGCGCCCGCCCGCCCGCTTTAGGTTAGCAGGCACGGCTTTGTTCCGCGCACCTCCCCCACACCGGTTCTAGGCTGCTGCGGCTCGCAGGCAGCTCTTTGTGTTCCTCTCGCAGAGCAGAGGACTTAACCCCTCCCTCTCTGCCTTGACGTTTGGAACTGAACAGGGAAGCTTAAATATTTGCGGTTTTACAACACAAACCGCCACATTGGGCCCCAAGGGGTCATTTGTATAAATTTCAGTCTTGAGGTTCATTTCAGATCAATTCTCCACGTGGATTCAAGTGGACTCTTTCGCCACCTCTGGCAGGAACCAGTCATTACAGGTAAAAAATTTTTTTTTCCTTTTATAAATAAAATGTCTGATAATATCACCTCTTCCAACTTCCATAACCTTTTTGAGTGTGCCATGTGGGAGATCCTACAAGAGGTGTCTAGCACCCCACATCTATGGATCCTTCTGGGATTAGTAGTTTTCCTTGGTCTTAAGTGGTTTGACAACAAAAGTCTGATAGAGTCTTTAAGAGACGAATCCAGGATTCTTAAGGCAGAGGTTGAACATCTAAAAACTATTGGAGATGAATCCAGGATTCTTAAGGCAGAGGTTGAACATCTACAAACGATTAAGCATGACAATGATCTTCTCATGAATCAGTTTAAAGTTCTACAGGAAGAGAACAGAACTTTGTTTAACAAGACAATGGTGACTGAAAAAAACTTAGAAAAGGTTCAGGCTGATATTAAGGAGAAATTTATTATTATGGAAGAAGGAACAGCTGATTTAAATCGTAAATTTCATCAGTCACTTTCTGAAGGGACTGAAACATTATCTCAGAGAATTAAATCGGTTGAATGGGAAAATCAACTTTTGTCTAAAGCTTATGACAGAGTGGTGGAAAGATTGTCAATACAAGAAGGCACGGTTTATGCCATAAAAATCATGTCCAAAGATGAGAACTTATCTCTAACGGACAAACTTCATACTTTAGAATCCTCAATGAGGGCTTTGGAACATAATTCTGGACAGGAGATACAGACATTGCAGAAGGCAATGGTGAATAGAATTGAAAAGATTGAGGAATTTCTAAATTCTGATTCTGATGAGGAAGAACAAACGGTAGAAAGGAAAGTTTTAACTACATCTGTGGGTAAATCCCTCCGGGACAATTTCCACAAATCTCTATCTACACCTCTACCTGCCTTTCCAGTAATAACGACAGAGAAGGTGATTGGTTCCAAAAACCCTAGGATCCTTAAGGAAGATACATGGGAGCCTGTCCGTATAAATGATCTCAAAGAAATTAAACAGGCTGTCACGGCTTTCGGGATGCACTCCTCTTTTGTTAAAGAGATGCTAAAATCTTGGGCCATAATGAGCAGACCAACGCCTTTAGACTGGACCCAGATGACCTCTGCAGTCCTTGAGAGTGGGACGCATTTAAGATGGAAATGCTTATTCAGGCAAGAGGCTAGACTTTTAGAACAGCAAGAAAAGGCGAAGGGAAGTGACATCTCCCTAGATAAAATTCTAGGTGAAGGACTCTTTTCCGATCCTCAGGAACAAGCTAATTTGGATGAAAGCATACTCTCCATATGCACTACAGCAGCCTTAAGGGCTTGGGACAGGGTACAAGACCCAGGACAGAGAATGGAATCATTTGTTACGATTAAACAAGGTCAGAGAGAACCCTTTAGTGATTTTTTACAAAGACTTACTAAGGCTGTACAAATAGGGATACCTGACCCTGACACAAGACGTATAATGATTGAGTCTTTGGCTTATGAAAATGCAAATGTGGAATGCAAAAAGATTTTGGGGCCTTTAAGGTTCAGATCAGCACCCTTGGAAGAATGGGTCTTGCATACACTGGATGTTGATACATTTGATTATGGCACTGAAGCATGGGTAGAGGAAGCAATTTCCAATGGTAAAAGGAGACATCAGAATACCAAATGTTTTAATTGTGGCAAAATGGGTCATATGAGAAGGAATTGTAAACAACGGACCTTCAGAAACAATAATAATGCGTCTTCTAGAAATAACAGAAATAGAAGGACTCAGCCTTCAGGTTTATGTAGAAGATGTGGAAAGGGTAGACATTGGACGAATGAGTGTAGATCTACAAGAGATAGACAAGGAAACCTGATACAGACGGGAAACGTGAGAGGGGGGGCCTCACAGGCCCCCATGGCAAACATGGTCCAGTCATTTCCAGTTTCTGCAGAGAACGTGCCTCGTCAGGACAATTAGGAAACCTCATGCCTACTGTTACAAACGATAATGAGCAGAAAGATGAGTTACGTGTGTTTTGGCAAACTTCTATAAATGATCAAAGACCTAAGCTGAAAGTGTGTGTAAATGGCATTTTTATTACTGGCCTGCTGGACACAGGTGCTGATGTAAGTATCATTACCCCAGAATCTTGGCATCCATATT